TTACTGTTGGCCTATAGCCTGTATTTTAAAACTGTACACATGATATTATTATGCTCAAATATGTTTCTCTCATGACAAGGAATGGGCACGACTTAGGTAACATCATTCTAAATAGAGAATTTAATGAACATTGTAATGTGTTTGATAGTTTTGGATTAGCTGAAATATGTAGTAATGTTCAAAAGGTAGCATTGAGAAGTGTTTCCTGATTACTTGGTGTATGTAAATTATCGCTAGTACAACAATAGAGGTGGAGTGAAATATGTATATTTATCCTTCAGTGATAGCATCTATGTTATCTTAGACGCTAACATTTTTCGGATTTGAAAAAGACATCTTGCTTGGATTTGTTTATGTCCACCCATAATTACCTTCAGTTAAACCTGACACGCGTGATATTAAGGGTATTGACTGTGTCGAGTCGTGTCTTCTTAAACTACTGGGGGCGGTCGGGTAGCCTAGAGGTTAAAGCGTTCGCTCGTCACGCCGAAGACCCGGGTTCGATTCCCGACATGGGTACAATGTGTGAAGCCAATTCTGGTGTCCCCCGCCGTGATATTGCTGGAATATTGCTAAAAGCGGCGTAACACATACTCACTCACTCTTAAATTACTGACGCTGTGTTGGTGCCATGATACTAGCAGGCGATATCAATGCTATAACGGGATCATAAACGGATTATATACTTTATGATGCTGATGATAGTGATATTAACATTTAGATTCTGAATGATATGCAATATGTAAAAGATTCCTTTCATATACCCAGGCTTTCAAGATATAAAGATGTTAACGATTTTGGAAAAGAATTTGTTTATCTATGTTTTACATATGGAATACATATGCTAAAAGACCCGTGAAGCTTCCGGGGTAGGATAAGTCTTCAGCAACCCATGCTTGCCGTAAAAGGTGAGTATGCTTGTCGTAAAGGTGACTAACGGGATCGGGTGGTCAGGCTCGCTGACTTGGTTGATGCATGTCATCGATCCCAATTGTGTGGATCGATGCATATGATGTCAATCACTGGAATGTCTGGTCTAAACTCGATTATTTACAGACCGCCGTCATATAGCTGGAATATTGTTGATTGCGGCGTTAAACAACAAACAACATATGACCCAAGTGGTAGCTTTACCTGTCTTACCTCGAACGGTGCAAGTACGGTGGACTAAATAACCTGCTTAACAAAGTTATTTGATCTTATTGATATTTTAAATGCACATACACATGTACACGCTCTGAATCTGATCACTTTCCTCTTTCCTGTTCTATCAGAATTAACTGTAACTATGTGCAAAAGGCTATAACTAAAGAAGCCGTTCTCCCAATTGATGGAGACCACTGCATTCCGATACGTTTATTCAATAATAATCTGTCTATGGACCAATTTATATCTTTAGTTTGTAATGACACTTCAGAGGCTGCTATGCAGTTATCACAATGTTTACAGTCTAGTGCCAGAAAGGCTGGCATGTTTATGGGTACAGTATCAGGAAATAAGGAGGCTTGGTATGATGCAGATGTATGACACTGAAAAGAAATAAATACACCTTATTAGACAAATTTAGAACAACAGGCGATACCAGACACTTGAGTCAGTTTCACTTTGCTCGCAATACATACAGAGAACTTTGTCACAAGAAATGTGAAAATTACCATGTGTCTTTAGCTATAAATCTACATGTGCGGTTTATGAGGGCAATTCAAAACAACTGTGGTCTGGTTACTGTAAAATCCTTACTAGACAAGTCTTATTTCCCAGCTCCACGTAAAAGTAGTTCTCGGTGGATTGACTTTTTAAATAATTATTTTGAATATTGAGGATAGCATACTAGATGATGACTTTGTCTCCTTTACGTTTCCCAAGATATCCCTGTTCATATTGATGATGATACTAATAAATGAGTGAGTGAGTTTATGCTTTACGTCACATCGGCAATATTTCAGCCATATCGTGACGAGAAGGTATACAATATTTAAACATATATGTAAACCAAATAAGAACCTGTCAGCGAAGGACAGTAAAATTACTAGAATATCACAGATTGAATGATTAAAACTAGCATACAACAATAAAAAGATATCATTAGATAGTCATGAAACAGTACAATATAAAAAGGGGCTGTAGATCGCCAGCAGCTGAAGGCAGATCACCATGCTAGGGTCCATGGGGACTTACATTACTTTTGCTACCTGCATGGACCCCAGCCGGATTTACATCATCCCTTCAGCTGTTGGCGATTATGACAAATTTAGCCAAAGGTAAACGAACATATATACTACTATTAAAAATGTGGCCAAAATAAATATACTTTGAAAGACGTGGTCTTACATACCCTCTCAGGGGGACAATAATTTTACACTACTTCAACCCCCTTCGAGGATACAGCCACTAACAATCTCAGTTAACAAATTTATTTTACCAATTATAAAAACTATACTATATACAGAACATATCAATCAAAATTTGGGCAACAATTCAATTTCTTTTAAAAAGTCAATAATTAAATGAACACTGATATTAAAAAGATCCTTTAATGATGAAACTTTGAAATATTTATCCCTTGTGATGGAAAAATCAACACAATCAAGCAGGACATGCTTGACGGTGATTCTCTCATCACAAGGGATACAAAATGGAGGATCCTCACCTTTTAAAAGATATTCGTGTGTATACCTGCTATGGCCAATACGACATCGTCGCATAATGACCTCTTCAAATCTGGACTGACAGCCCAAGTAGGTGTAACCGATATTTGGTTTAATTTCATGTAATTTATTGATACCTACTTGGGCGTCCCACTTCTGTTGCATAAGATCTCGGATGTAAGATCGAATCATGGGTTTAAAATCAGTGTATGGGATCAGAAGTGGTGTCACAGATTTGTTGAGTGCTGCTTTTGCAGCAGCATCGGCCATTGTGTTACCAATGATACCAACATGGCTTGGTAACCAACAAAAGACGATGTCATATTGGCCAGTAGCAAGATCATTAATTAATTCGAGAATCTGGATTAAACGTGGATGTTTGGGTGACATATTTTTAATCGCCTGAAGGCACGAAAGTGAATCAGAAAAAATAATGAATTCTTTATGTTTAGATTGACGACTGATATATTTAAGTGCTGTAAAAATGGCGTTTGCTTCTGCTGTGAATATTGAACTGTTATCAGGTAAACGTGAAGATATTGTTCTGGATCCAATTACAGTGGCACTAGCAACTGCGCCACCATCCTTGGATCCATCTGTAAATATAGATTTATAAGTGTCGTAAGTGTTTCTTAATTGATGGTATTCTTGTTGGTAAATTATTGGTTAGTAGCTGATTTCTTTTATTTTGTTAATGTAAGGTCAACCTCCGGCTGTACCATTTGCCAAGGAGGTGTTGAAAACAGTTGAGTTGGAGCTATATCTTGCAGTTTAATATTGGAAGCAAACAAGGCAGACTGGATTCTGATTCCGAGTGGTGGAACAAGAGATGACTTTTTATTGTAAATATCTTGGTAAATAGGATTAAATACGCAATTAAAAGCTGGATTTGACTGATTTGAATATAATTTAGTGATGTATTGTAATGATAATTTCAGACGGCGTTGTTTAAGAGAAGGCTCATCCGCTTCAACAGACAGACTTGGAATAGGAGAAGTGCGAAAGGCACCAAGGCAAAGCCTCAGACCTTGGTGATGGATAGTATCTAGTTTTTTTAGATTACTTTTACATGCTCCACCATAGACGATGGAGCCGTAATCAAGTTTAGAACGGATCAGTGATCGATATAAGTGTAAGAGGGTTGTCTGATCCCCTCCCCACTTTGAATTAGAAACAACTTTCAAGAGATCGAGTGCCTTCAGGCATTTAGCTTTAAGATATTTTATATGTGGGAGGAAAGTTAAGTGGCTATCAAAAATAAGACCCAAGAACTTGGCCTCCTTAACAACTTTGATAGGGGTGCCATTCAGAAATAGTTCAGGGTCCTTATGCGGTTTATATTTTCGGCAGAAATGTATACAATTAGTTTTTGATTTGGAAAATTTAAACCCGTTTTCAAGACACCACTTGTTAATTTTATTTAGACATAATTGTAATTGCCTTTCAATTGTGTTCATATTTTTACCCCGACAAGATAGATTAAAATCATCCACAAAAAGTGATCCATCAACTGAATCATTTAATACTTTTGACAAACTGTTAATTTTTATACTGAATAAAGTGACAGACAAAATACTGCCTTGTGGGACACCCTGATCCTGATTATAATGATCAGACAGGGTTGTACCCACTCGGACTTGAAATTGCCTGTCTGTTAAAAACTGGGATATAAAATGAGGCAGACGGCCTCGTAATCCAAAATCATGAAGATCTTTTAAAATACCATGTTTCCATGTTGTATCGTATGCTTTTTCTAAATCGAAAAAGATCGATACAGCATGTTGTCTATTTACAATGGAATTTTTAACGAATGATTCTAAACGCACTAAGTGATCGATAGTACTTCTGTTCTTCCGGAAACCGCATTGTATATTGGTAAGAAGATTATTTGTTTCCAAGTACCACACTAATCGATTATTTACCATGCGTTCCATCGTTTTACAAACACAGCTAGTGAGAGATATAGGTCGGTAATTTGATGGATCAGAATGATCCCGCCCAGGTTTGGGAATGGGGATAACAATGGCATTATGCCATGAAGCTGGAAACATCCCAGATGTCCAAATATCATCGAATATATTTAACATAGTTTCAAGGCATGATTCGGGCAAGTGTTTCAGCAGCTGATAATGAATATTATCAGCGCCTGCTGCTGTATCATGAGCTTGCCCTAAGGCAGTATATAGCTCATGTAGTGAAAATACCTCATTGTAATCTTCACCATTATCAGATGTAAAATTTACTTTTTACTTCTCCTGTTGGAGCTGATATTTTTGAAATTCAGGAGCGTAATTAGATGAAGAAGAATGATGAGATAAAGTTTCACCAATGCTATGGCCAACATTCCTCAGTTATGCCCCTTTACTACTTCGCCAATAGATGGCGCCAAACGCTACGGTCCTGCGCGTACTTCCGGTATATTACGCGGTTCATAGATATTTGCACGACCAACAACTACAACGAAGTATTTACGATGCCTTCGACGTGCAGCTGTGTCCCGGGATGCTGCAATCGAGGTGGTTTGTCGTTTCCGAGAGAACCTTTGTTGCTGAAACGATGGTTGATTGCTATTCGGAGGAGCGACGAATCAAACCAAGGCAAGATGTGGAAACCGTCACCTCACAGTGTTGTGTGTCATTCCCACTTCAGACCGTCTGATTTCATTGCTGTAACTAGTTATGGTAAGATATTTGGGTAACTTGTTATGTTTCTATTCGTTGGCAGATTTAATTAACGTGCATGCCAATTATATTTGTTATATTTTCTTGCATTGAAATTACGAAGAGGGTTTTACGTGACTCAGAAATGTGTATCCAGTATGCAGAAATGTGAAGAATGGACGCAGACAAAATAGAATATGTTCCGTCCCGCGGGACACACTTATTTTCACAGATAGTTTGATTTTGTCATTGAGTTAAATTGAGTTAAGATTCTTAAAACTTCGAAGTGTGTGATTTTTTTCACAATAATTTTAGTTCCCTCCTGTCAGAGTAGGCGAGTAAATTTGAGTATTGGCTAATTCTAATGTAATCACGTTTGTGTGTGTTTGCATGTGAACCTATGAGTATATTTCATTGTTTTTTTAAAACCAAGATAGAAATAATGTGTCATTTAGGCCCTACTATAGTAGCCATTTTTTTGCCAGTCAGTGATCATGGTGATGTTTAGGTTTGACCCTCATATATTTCATGCACGGGCCTTTGAAATCAATTACTGGGGGTCTAGTGCATACCCAGTTAATTACGGTAAAACCCTGTTTACCACCATTATATTCCTGTTTATGAAGTTGTTGATGTTTGACCATAACCCTTCTTAGTTTTCTTCTTTAATTTGTTGAATTGATGATTACCAGGAATGTCAACACATATTTGACGTTTTTGCCTTTAATGCATCATGTTACATTTTCCTGCAGGTGCTTGTTTTCCACAGAGATGAGGCACAGATGATTCAAGAATACAGGTTCATGTTTGTTCACTTTTGATATGTATTTGTCAGAACAGTGTCATGTGTACGTGTTGAACTTGAAGACACTTCTCTGTATCAGGCATTATATGTATGTAATGTTGAGACTATATCTACGAAAATTGTCAGCTAATTTATATCATAATTTTCCTTAATTTAAATGTTTGTTTACTTTTCTAATGTATTGATGTGTATCACTATTATATTCATAATGTGGCAAAACATATCGTGCCCATAGAAATTTTTTCTTTCCCTGCAAATTAACTTAAATCTAATCATAAAAAGCTATATCACAACTGGTAGTAAAAAGGTTGCACAATATCTGTTTGGAAAATAATAATCTACTGCTGTTTTCCCCAGGGTGTACACCTCTGAGGAAACAGAGAAAACCAGATGCTGTACCATCAATCTTTCCCTGGACTGCATCAGCCAACGCACTTGAGGCCGATGGAGGCTTAAGGAAATCCTGCATTGAAAGACGTGAGAGCCAAAAGAGGACATTTAAAGCAATGGATACAGATTGTGATATTGAATGTGATATCAGTGAGGTAGCTGGGGAGGAAATAATTGACAATGTTGAGTTTGATGACATGAATACCGACTTAAACATTTATTCTGCAGATAGTGCAGAGGTTGAATATGAAAGTACATCAGCTCAGACAGACAAATTTCCAATGCTTCCAATACAAAGTATTATGTTTAATGCTGCAGCAATTTTGTTTTACACAGGACTGTCAAACTATACAGACTTCACCTTTGTACTTGCAAGTTTGGGTCCGTGTGCATATCACCTAAATTATTTGTACAGCAAAGTTGACAGTATGACTATCAGTGTGGAAAATCAATTGCTTTTAACACTTATGAAACTGCGCCGACATAAGATTAACTTTGAACTTGGTCTTAATTTTGGAATTTCAGAGAAAACAGTATTAAATGTATGGTTCACCTGGGTAAATTTTATGTATAGACAGTGGAGTGAGCTTGATAACTGGCCAGAACGAGACTTAGTGCACTATTTTTGTCCTTCTGATTTCAAATTCAAATTTCCATCCACATTCAAAATACTTACTGAACCTCTTAACAGTTCAGAAACCAAATTAGCCACAGAAATAACCAGGGTTTGCTTCATGCTTTGTTCTTTCAAAAAGTGCATTGTTCCCTCTACTTGCTAATCATATTGGTTAGCAAATCATTAAAAATATCTTTCATTCCAGTCGGACGTTAGTCAGACGTAGAGTATGGAGATTTGTTTCTAATTTCTTTCAAAAAGGCCTGTTATTTGCGTTTGCTACATGATTAAAGATAATTGTTGCTAAATATTCATGAGGATAAAGTTGAATGTAACATGTTATCGATTATGTATCATGTTGAGACTAGAATGGGAATCTGTGGTCAAAAAGCAAGTTTGAAGCAAATTTACCATTTGTGCAGCCACAATCAATCATACTCTTTTGTCAAGGTACAAACATAAATGTGTTAGTATCAGAGATTATGATAATGTAATGCTCAACTTCCTGTTCAGTGTGGTGTTAAACCCATCTCACTCACTGAATTTGTTTTAAATTTATGACATCAGTAACATGAATTTAAGAATGTTGACATTGTTTGGTGCGTACTGTTACATTATCCCCTGCCACAAAGTGGGAGAGACACATTTCTTGTCTGAGCATAATTCGGAAACTGTTTCATATGTTATTATGAAACTTGGCACATGTATCAAACACAAGTTGAACTGGTGCCCTTTCCTGTTTTCCATGGCAGCAATTTGGATTAAACCCAAATACTGGTTGCTTTTATTTCACGAACTTAAAATCTGAATAAGTTGAAGTGTATATTTCTGGATCATATATCCATTATATTTTCAATGGATACATGTTTACTGAGAAACAAATTGTAATTAATTGTCCTAAGTTAGGAGGACCATGTTTAAATCTGTTACTTTGTGCATTGTGGCTGTAATGAGGACAAAATTCTAATGTGTCCCATGGCTGTGTATTCTTCATATGATACTGGCAGCAGCTAGACCGGTCCAGATATTTGGCACATCTTAGTGCTGTTGCTTCAGCTCTCTCAGATGTTATAAAAGGCAATCATGACAAGCAAGAAGTCAATGACAATGTTTTTTTATCATTCCCTCAAACAGTTCAGCTGCAGATAATAATCACATGACAGTTGTAATTCCTCAGATATAGAGCTGAAGGAGTATGCTTCAAGCAGTGATGATATTTATGAGTATGGACACTGAATTGTGATTATGTATTGCACTGTAGCTTCATCTATATTTAGATCTTCCAACTATTAACTACTGGAGTACTTAACAGATGGTTGCCATTGTCACAAAAGGAGTTAAAAGTTAATGTCACATCAATACTATTTCAGCCATATAGTGACGAGACCAAGTTGATATACACAATTTACTCATGAATGCAAAGGTATATTTAACAATATCATTTATACAGTTTTAAAACACAGGTTATAGGCCATCAGAAACCAAAGCTAGGCCACCTCGCCGGGGATCATGGGGACTTACGGTGCCTCTGCTTCCTGCACGATACCCTAGCAGGATTTATGTCATTAACTAAGCCACTGGTGGTTGTGCTCAATACTAGCCAGTCAGCAATGATGTCAGTTGATTATAGCATCACATCAAATTTAAAAACAGGCAATCAATGATTCACATACATATTTAGATTATTTTTTTTTACAGACCATTTTTTCTTTCAAGTAGTTGATAATGAGGTGCCTGGTCATATAGTACTGTAACAGTAAGTACGAACTGACATCTGAGATTGTATTTATTTAGACTAGTGAATGCATCCATGTATGGGACCAGTGTGTACGTTGTGATTTTTAGATTATCCAACTTATAACTACTGGAGTGATTAAGAGATGGTTGCCATTGTCACATAGTACTGTAACAGTAAGTACTAAATGTCTTAATAAACATCTGAGATTGTATTTATTTACACAAGTGAATGTATCAATGTATGGGACCAGAGTTCAACCTGGTTTTGTCTGATGCAACTCTTTTCACGTCAACATTCATCTGGTGAAATATCATCCTTAAATGGAGCCCTGCAAGTTTTTTCATAACTTTTTGTTTGTGAATGTCCATATATGCAGAATATAATATGTTCAGCATTAAACATTGAGACTACAATTCTGTCTTTCTTGTTTATAGGGCTGATGACCATTGACACATGAGTATCAGCAGTAACTGAAATTTACCAGGAATACCTGTCATAATCTCTGAAATAGAATTTGTCAAGTAGTGCCTTTTTGAAAAAGGTGTCATAAAATGCCACAAGTTTTTCAACCATAGATTCAATGAAATGGTCATCTCGGGATACAGTAAAATATTTCAAATCCTTCATCGTGTATACAATAAAAATGCACTGTTTTCTACCAGTACAGTAGAGCTGCCCTTGCACTTGAAAGAAATATGGCTTGCTTTTGTCAAGGGTAAGTTTTCCCTCAGATACCTTCAAATAGGGAACAGTTATCTCAGAGATTAGACGGTCTTTAGATGCAAATGGACATTTCACTTCAATGGTAGTATCATCACCGAGAAGTGAATCTGGTGAAGCTGCGAGAAGTGGATGAACATCTGACACAAACATGCCACATGGTGAGGTTTTGAAACCACTTGGCTTTTCAAAAGCTTTTATTGCCACCTTTTCATATTTTCTGCCATGTCTAAGTGGTGGACTTTGAATGTCCTCGAAAGGCTTAGTCATTGATCTAGCAAGTTTATGAAAATCAGTTTTGTCTGTTGCCAAACAAATTTTCCCAAAATTGGAAGAAGAAATTCTCTGTGTGTGTTCAGTTTTCCATTCCTTGCTCTTTGACTGTTTACGGGTTATTATTTCAAGGTTGGTTTTGTCCATATCGGATATTTCTGATATATTCTGGGATTTCAGGTATTGGTCAGCTAAAGATAACTTAAGATAATCATGATCATGATTAACAGCAAATGGATTTGCTGGAGGAAACATTTGAGCAACTGGAAATGTATTGACACTAGGGTGGTTCAACCAAACATTGCGGAAAAAGTCAGGGTAATTTGGCACTTGGCGATACTGCACTGGTCGTGGGTCAAATATAACATTCAATTCACTGTTGCATAAATCAAGGTCAGTCGCCTTTATGGGACTGCCTTTATAGGGTTTACTTTTATGAAATGTTTGCAATCTTTGAGTACATGTTTCTTCAGTTAAAACATCGCCAGTTGTTGAAAACTTGTGCACAGCATATAACACTGCACAAATATGTTTGAAATGTCCTGATGGACCCTGGCCTGCAGCACACTCACACTGCCCCTCCACAACAGAACCATCGTCATCAATTGCAACATCGACTTTGTAAGTCACATGCTTCTTCATTTCAGCACAGCACTCAGACTTCAGGAAACACATGTTATTAGGTTTTGAATAACGGAAAAATTTCAAAAACCTACTAGTGTACAGATTCTTTGAACTTGAACCAAGTTTCTTCTGAAAAGGCTGTAAGTAATAATTTATAGCTTCATATGCTAAAAAAGGAAGATGACTGTCACCATTTACATCCCTATAAGTTTCAACTAGGGGCAGTGTCATTTCAAACTCAGCTTCAAGTTCTGGCTCTCTCCCAAAATTGCAGTTTCGGTCATAGCTCTCGAGTCTGAAAAACATTTGAAATAAACAACTGTAAAAGAAAAAACCTAATTGAAAAAAATCACTGCAAAATATATGGACTATTAAATTATTTTTGGAGTACACAAATGTCTTAGTTTCCATTTTGTCAAAAAGTACAATTATTTTAAGAACAGATCCCTGTAACTCCAAGGTCAACAAATCAGTATTTCTGTCAGTAAGGAAGCTTAAGCCATCTCTGCATTGTTATCAGTACTAAAACTTGACTTTTGTACAGTAATAATATCTTTACTTGCACTACAGTAATTGTATATAATTTTTTTTGTTAGAAAACAAACAACATATAATAATACGGATATTAATTTTAACACAAGAATAAGACATTGTGTCACAAAATAAAAATACATGCAGTGAATAAGGATTCTTGATGTGTTTGCCTTCGACCGGAATCGAACCGATGTCTAAAGATTACTCTGTTAGACTACCATTCAAAAGCTTCATTACATCTAATTTTAATATTAGAAATATAAACGCTGTTATGCACATCAAAGTATGGACCCATCATACTTGTGAAGAAATAATAAATGTGTGAACCTTTCACACCTGTGGATGAAATAATAAATGTGTGAACCTTTCACACCTGTGGATGAAATAAAAAATGTGTGAACCTTTCACACTTGAGGATGAAATAAATGTTCTAGGTGAAACGATACAGGAAGGTCACATCACAGTACATTAGGTCACATTTTTTTTGTCAAATTGTGTTGAAACTTCTTGACTAAATATTTCAGAGCAGGTTCAAAAGTAAATTTCTAGTAGTGAATTTGAAATGCTAATTACATCATATTTGCAGTACTTGACTGACACTTGGGTGTCATAAAACAAGTAGTAAGAAACTTAATTTAGCAAGTGTAAAAAAGGACTGTGTATCATGCATGAAAACTTGATGCACCAGTGCACCAATGTATCGTTTCAGCCCTCATAAATGTGTGAACCTTTCAAACTTCTGGCTTTAATAATAGATGTGTGTACCTTTCACACTGAGGAAATAATAAATGTGTGAACCCATCACACTTGCTAAAATAAATAAAACTATATGAAAATCTAAAAGGCACTCACTGTAAAGGACGATGAACTTGATAACCCTCAGCCTTTCTTCAGCCATCGGATGGTGCAGAGCTCAAGCAATTTTTAATGTTTTACAAATATTTCAGTACCTACCTCACGCTTTGTTACATCATGTTTTGGCCACAGATGAATCACAATTCCAAATATGTGTATAGAAACGAAGAAAGGGACGGGGGCATTATGATTATTTAAGATACATTTTGGGGACTTGTCATTTATTGGGGGGTGGGGAGATAGGAGAAAATGTTACATGGATTGTGTGGGGGTTGGTGAGTTGGCGATGCAGTCCTTAGACCGCTTCCAAGATACTATCTCTGCTTAAATTTACTATGTATATTCGTATCGAAGAACGATGTATTATTGAATGATTGCCCAAATAATTATAGAATCTATAAACCGGAAGTTATCCCAACCGCATGTAAAAGGGTGTAATATTTTGCACACTGCCAGTGAGTCATTAATTCGAAGAATAAATTATTGTGACTGACACTTACCTTCCGTACAAGATCCGTGGTCACCGCTCTTTCCCTTTTCAGTGCATCTCAAAGCGTCCCTAGCAACGGGGGCATGTTGTTTACGTGAACGAAAACTGAAGCACTTATGTTGTCGGCATTATCGCGTCGATGCTGACGTTATTTGTTTAGCGATCTCAGTTGTCTAAACTAAACATATGTTCTACCAATGACCATGATACCAATATTGCACTGTGTAAAGTGACAAAATGGGGAATAGTTACTGTTACAATCTTATAAAATAACTGCTCAGTAAGAAAAGCCGAGAAACAGCAATATCAGAAACTTACCGTTCTATCAGATCGATTTTTCTTCCTGACACTCGAGCACCTCGTGCTTTGAGCTCAGTCTTCAGTTTGGGCAACTTCCAGCTTCCGTAATTCATGATAGAAATAGGCCTTCAAGCACTACCGGCTGTTTACAGAAAAGCAAGTGGGTCAATGTCGACAGAAGTTTATATATTCCCGCGGATACAACGATGAATGTTGGACCGTAACTACCGCAGCGCCGCCAAGCGGGCAAGGGGGCGCAACTCCAGGAATGTTTGCCATTGGCAATGGCAGATTTATCAGTTAACAAAGTATCGCCATCCTTCAGATGGTTAATTGTAGAATTTGATCCCTTGCCTTTGATCTTTTTGATCATGTTCCATACCTTGGACATAGGGGTACGAGAGTTAATTTTGGAGACATAAGTCTGCCAGGATTGACGTTTACTTTGCTTAAATAGACGTCTTGCCTTGGCATTTGAAATTTTAACAGTATTTAAATTATGGACAGTGGGATGTTTACGGAAGTACTTCTCCGCCTTCTTACGACATTTCCTAGCTTGTTTGCAAGTAGCATCAAACCATGGTTTACGAACACGTGGGTTGACAGAGGACTTAGGTATGGATTCATTAGCAATTTCATTCAGTTGATCTGAAAACAACTGAATTGGGTCAGTAACATTCTGAAAAGAAGTAGGTTGTAATGTATCTTTGCATAAAGATTGAAATAAAAGCCAATCAGCCTTCACAAAATTCCATCGAGGTGAAGCTGGATCAACAGCTGGATTAATGGGCTTAAGCACCGTGGGGAAATGGTCACTCCCACATAGGTCATCATGGACGGACCATGAGAATTCATTTAACAAAACTGAATCCGTCAAAGACAGATCTAATGATGAATACGTACCAGTTGCAGGGTGTAAGTAAGTGTCGGAGTCATCATTAAAGATGCAAAGGTCATTATCAGAAACAAAATCCTCGATCACTTTTCCCTTTTGATTAATGGTGGAACTTCCCTAAAAAGGATTATGCCCATTTATATCACCCATGATGACACAGGGCTTTGGGAGCTGGTCGTATAGTTTTTGTAGATCATTACGCTGAAGATTTGAAGATGGAGGAATGTATAAGGAGCAAAGTGTGAAGGCAATATGCAGTGTAAGTCTAACTGCAACTGCTTGCAGAGTCGAGTCAAGCGGAACAGGACTGTGAACAACGCCCCGCCGCACTAAAATAGAAGCACCTCCAGTAGCTTTATCTCCTGGAGGAGAGAAGGAATGATATGAACTATATTGCTTTAAATCAAACTTATCTGTATTTTTAAGGTACGTCTCTTGTAAACAAATTGCTGATGTATTTAAATCACTTGTTATCCCCCGCCGCGCGAAAGCGCGAAGCGGGGGATATAGTATTCACGACCGTCCGTACGTACGTCCGTACGTCCGTACGTCCCGTACGTCCGTACGTCCGTCCGTACGTCCCACCTGTTTGTTGCCGCGATATCTCAAGAACTAAACACTGGATTGTCTTCATATTTGGAACTATGGTGTATATACAGACTCCGCAGACACCAGTCGGTTTTGGTGACCTTGATCCCATTTTCAAGGTCACAGCAGGCAAATCTGCTTTTGGAGTTGGAAAACGGTGTTGCCGCGATATCTCAAGAACTAAACACTGGATTGTCTTCATATTTGGAACTATGGTGTATATACAGACACCGCAGACACCAGTCGGTTTTGGTGACCTTGACCCCATTTTCAAGGTCACAGCAGGTAAATCTGCTTTTGGAGTTAGAAAACGGTGTTGCCGCGATATCTCAAGAACTAATCGCTGGATTGTCTTCATATTTGGAACTATAGTGTATATACAGACACCGCATACACCTGTCAGATTTGGTGACCTTGACCCCATTTTCAAGGTCACAGCAGGCAAATCTGTTTTTGGAGTTGGAAAACGGTTTTGCCACAATATCTCAAGAACTAATCGCTGGATTGTCTTCATATTTGGTACTATGGTGTACAGGCGGGGGATATTTCGTCACTCTGTGACAAATACTTGTTAATAACTGCAGTTCATGAAAATTATGCCTAAGTCCTCTGCAGTTCCATTGCATTATATTAGACAAATGAGTCATGGTGGCTCAATTGGAGATCGCTCGCGTGAATGTGAGGAGGAACTACTCCCCCGCCTGTCCTGTGAGGACAGAGTAACCTCCATGTCCAGAGGCCCAAAGGAGTTCTGTAAAGGAACCTCTGAAGGTGAAGGGACAATAGGTGGCTGTTTTCTACTCAATTTCTTTTTCTCTTTTTTTTCAGATTTGCAGGTTGTTTCCCAGACGTTTGGGATTGTGTCTCAGACTGAATCTCAGTCTGAGATCCTGAACTTGATTGACTGATGGCAGGAATAGGTGTGGAAATAGTGGAATTTGGAATTGTAGCAACAGGTTGTTCTGACTTGACCCATGTCAAGTCAGTCTGACACGAAATAGATGATGTTGTTACGGGGCGTGAGACTGCAGCGGAGTAAGAAATAGTTGAAGTAGTTGTGGTCTGATCTTTCAATAGTTTCTTTGCATCCAGGTAGGGTATGTTCCTTTCACATTTCAGTTTCATTATTTTAGATTCAATCTGCCATACAGGGCAAGATTTAGATGAAGCAACATGTGGGCCAGAACAGTTTGCACATTTCAAATCATCTTCGCAGTCAGTGCTCTCATGGTTGGCACCGCAACGATGACAAACAATCGAGTTTCGACAGGATTTGGAGCCATGACCAAAACGCTGACACTTGTAGCATCGGAGCGGATTGGGGACATACACATCCACTCCGATGTGGAAGTAACCTGCTTTAATTGACTGGGGAAGGGTTGCACGAGCAAACGTCATTAGATACGTGTTTGTATTGGTGATGACACCGTCCTTCTTGAAAGTAAAACGTTTAACTGCAGTAACAGCCTGGTCTTCCAACTCCGTAGCGATTTCTTCTTCAGACATGTCCGACAGACAACGAGCCCTGTCACGAACAATGCCTCGACAAGAATTTAATGTTCTGTGCACAGACACAGCAACCTCAAGATTGGCAAATGTAGAGATAGATAAAAGATTGAGAGATTGCTGTCTCCGTGCACACTCCACAAGAAGCGAACCACTACGGAGACGGGTGACGTTCTTGACTTCACCGCAAATCCCGGACACAGCCTTAGAAACAGCAAAAGGATTCAATTTGATAGGTAAGTTATCAGTAGCCTCAATCACCAGGAATTTTGCCCAGGAATCAATAGTTTGTGAAAGATTTCCAGTTGAAATTTCAATTTCCTCTAGACGTCTCTTTTTTTCATTACGAGATGAACCAGATTGTGGGAGAGCCATGGTGAAAAGAAAATGATTCAGCACCCCTGTTCCCCACCCCCCATCGAGTGTCAACAAGGACGGTGTTATATTGCACCGGATATCCAGGATGCAAACACCAGGGATGGTATACTCCAGGAAATATGACGTGAATAGCTATATTTATCTACCAGATGTAGTGCCAGGAAGGTTCAGTCCATGAGAAGAAACTGGAGACATACAGAATACAGAGGTCAACATCACCAGATTGGCCCATGAGCCACCGCCTTCTGGCGTAAGACTCTAGGCAATTTATTCAATCCAAAATGGAGAATTCACACAAGTTATTCACGGCCAAGACCAAAATATACATCAAAATACAACACAGTTGTGCATATACAATATTACGCACAGGGCCTGGCATGACCAGCCGATTGATAAGACCGGGCCCATCTTACCACCCGTCTAGGCGAAGTAAGGGTCGAAGTAGTGTGTTGGACAAAGGAACACAGTTCCAGGAACCAGTGCCCTCAACTACCAGACTCCCGTCCTCCGCCGACACAGGGACGCAACCCACGGCAAACAGGTTGCCCATTTTAGTCGCCTCATACGACCAGCAATGGGGTGCTGTGGAAATATTCTGCCCCGGTTCCACACGGGGGAAGAGCTATTAGCGCTACCCAGCACTCACCACGAGGAGGTGGCTCTTCACGAGTGCCTGATACTAATAAAACTCTTAAGTAGAGAGATATCAAGAGAAGAAATAGTTAAAGCACTGTCTTCTGGACCAGATGGAATGCCTCCTGAAGTGTGGAAACATGGAGGTGATGTGTTACTGCCATAGTTAGATGTTCTTTTTAATACAACTTTTGAATCTGGTGAATTCCCATTGTATTGGTCTAAAAGTATAATTTTCCACTTCATAAGAAAGGCAATACAAATGATGTGAATAACTACAGAGGAATTTCTTCATAGACATTTGCGGTATAACATTTACACGTGTTTTAAATAACAGACATAAAACTTTAGTAGATTTGTTTAACAAAAACCCTGAGTGTCAAGCTGGATTTCGTACTGGCTATTTTACAACTGATAATATTTTTACACTACAATCACTAATTCAGAAATATTTATCCAAATCCTTGGGTACGTTTTATTGTTTATTCGTAGACTTCCATAAAGCTTTTGATTCTATCAATAGAGATCATTTATGGTATGTGTTGGCTCAACAAGATATTAAAGGCAAAATGCTGAATGTAATTTGTGATATGTCATCTTCCCGAGGCAAGTGAGTTAACTGACTATAAAAGTCCAGTTTCCACCCTTGCCGAACTAGGCTGGTATTATGGAGTTACATTTTGGCTGGACTAACGAGTCTATGCATAGTCCAATCAAAATCGCGCACCGAAATGGAAATCCGGTTCGTAAAGTGTCATGCAGATTTCGGTCGACTGCAGGATTTGCAAAGCATGTGCACCGCTAACTCGTTGTCAACATCTTTTCATGTTTTTAATCAAGGTGATTTGATGCACTTCGCGTTGTAAGACTCGTTTTATCACAATATAGATCTTCATTATCGATCGACTGGGCGCCACCGTTTTGTTTGAAGCAAATGCAAGTGATGCGAAAGGTTGTATCTGATTGGTCAATATGAGAGGCATAGAAAGGCCATAACTCGTAATAGCCACTGGTGGCGCTACGATCGAGCCCAGGAATTCCAGCCTAGTTCGGCAAGGGTGGAAACTGGACTTTTAAAGTCAGTTAACTCTCTTGCCTCGGGAAGATGGTGATATGTATGCTAAGACAACATCAGCTGTTAAAGCATCAAATGTTAGCATTTCCGAATATTTTGATTGTTTACGCGGTGTTCGTCAAGGTTGTTTTATATGTCCATTTCTATTTACACTGGACAAAATATCATCCATTCCAACATTTCCAAAACTTGGAAATAC